TCGTCGTTTGGTTTGGACTTGAGATTTTTGATCTTTTGCTTCAATTATGTATTTCTCTTTAGATTTTAGTTGATTTTCGAAATGTATTTTAAGCTTTGATGATCGATTTATCCTTTGTTACTATTTCAGTTATAGATCTCATTTTTGTTTAACAATATACTTTTATGACAGAGTATTGACAATGTACTTTTATGACATAATAATATTAACAATTTGGGCTTGTTTTGAGTTGGTCTGGTTTGTTCTTTCTTCTTTTCTTTGGTGGACATGTATTAGAAATAGCAACAAGACAAGTATTAATCAACATGACAGTAAACTAGCAGTGTTATTACCCTAGATTGGAACATTACAGTCATTAATCAACATAACAATAAATGTGTGGAACATTATAATCATTAATCAACATGACACGTTAATGAAACTACGGTTTTCAAGACATTTTGTTTGTAATGAATTGTTTGGGTTTTTTTTTTATAAAATTGTGTTGGGCTTGTTTTGAGTGCTATTTAAGTTTTTTGTGTTAGGCTTCTTTTAAGTTGATCAATGACAGTCACGTAATTTATAGGAACTTCAACACCAATTTCTTATGTAGTACATGAGTTTTGGGTGTGTTTCTAAAATACATTCCATGTGGGGTTTTTTATATTAATAATTTCAGCCCCTATTTTGGGTATATTAGTGAAGCTCCCTTAATATTTCAGGTGGAGCGCACAAAGTCGCGGCCACTTGCAAGTGGTGTTTTGACACCTTTTCAGGGGCTCTGTTTTCTTGGATTTCAATTGCTTTTGGGTCTTGGACTTCTCCTTCAACTGAATAATTACAGGTCTTAGGGTTGGAGGAACACCCTTGTTGGATCTATTCTATATTGTATTTTACTCATCCAAGCTGTTTATTGTGTAATTAATAATGATTAATTGACAGCCGTGTTTTGGGGGCTGCGTGGCTGTTGCTAATTTTCACCTACCCTCTCATGAAGAGGGTGACATATTGGGTAATTAAACCTGAGCATGAATCCTGAAGCTTGAGTAATTAATAATTAGTAAATGGTAGCTATGATGACGTTGTGTTGTGTGCATCATGCAGCCTCAAGCGTATCTAGGTTTGATGATGAACTGGGGGGGTTTATTAGGATGGGCTGCAGTTAAAGGAACCATTGATCCAGCTATAATGCTGCCCTTGTACATTTCTGGAGTATTCTGGACACTCGTCTATGATACCATATATGCACATCAGGTACGTACGTAAAACAATATTTGAGTGTCACGAAATTAGTGAATTACTCATCATGACCTTGTGCTTGCATTGCAGGATAAGGAAGATGATGTGAAAATAGGTGTCAAGTCTACGGCATTGAGATTTGGCGATTCAACCAAGAAATGGCTTACTGGGTTTGGAATTATGTGCATCACTAGTCTTGCCCTCGCTGGATATAATGCTAAAATCGGTCTGGTTCTTTTCCTCCTTCATTCATTTATTGAAGTTGAATCTCATTTCATTTTTCTTCTTGTTTTATTCTGTCACGTTTCGTAACTACATAACATACGGTATGAAGGGTGGGCATACTATGCAAGTTTGGGAGTTGCATCTGGACATTTAGCTTGGCAGATATGGACAGCTGACCTTTCATCCCCGCTTGATTGCAACAGAAAGTGCGTGTTGCCGTATAAATATATGAATTGCATTGATAATAAAATTTTGGGTTATTATTGCCTAACTAAGCAAGAATTTGGTGTTGTGTTGGTTCCAGATTTGTGTCGAACAAGTGGTTTGGTGCTATTATTTTCATTGGAATCCTACTTGGAAGACTTTTGCCATGATGAAGATGCTGCCTAATTCTCGCTTTGGTTAGCTGCTTTTGCTGAGTGATGGACAAAAATGGGTGATTTGGTTTGGGATGTTTTATTTTTCAAAAATAATAAAAAGAGGAAATTAGCCTGGAATCCATTAAGGATAAATTTCCCAAGATGTACATTCCCTAATCCCCAAGATATTCGGGAATCTTTAATTATGTTGATTTAATGTGGGATTGTGTTTCTGTTGAAGCGTCCTTCCACAAATTTTCAATATGCAAATGGAAAATTACCAAAAAGAAGAAGAAAAGGTGGACTCAATTTGGGTGGGCTGAGGGAATTTGTGCGTGGAGTGTAGATGTTCCATGGTAGAGAGAGAGAGAGAGAGAGAGAGAGAGAGAGAGGGGAATAGGGAAGAGAGATTGAAAGAAGAGGTTGTGAAAAGGAAAGGGGGAATCAATTTCGAGGTAGGTGGGGTTGGTTGGAGCTGGTGGTGCACATGTGATGGGGGAAGGTGATAATTTATTTTTTTTCAAATTTAATTGTTTAAAAGGTATACAATTTTTTTAATAATAATTTTTTCATTTTTAAAATGCCCTTGAAAATGGAACGACTGCAATACCCTTTAAAATGGATGGTGATGAAGTTACCTGACAAATCATGGATTTTGAAAAATTAAGGTGATATTTCTCTTAAATTTTTCTTTAAAGTGACAAATTGAACCTGAGGTATAAGTTTATGTAACATTTATGCAAAAATCCCTTAAATATACATATATTTTCATTACTAACTCTTTCTTATTCATCAATGACATAAGAAATGGATTCGGTCGGGCTTCTTTCCTAGTCTAATCTTCTCATAACCTTGTGAAACTTGGGAACCATATAGAAGAGAGAGATATACAAAAAAAAAAAAAAAAGGCAAAGGGAAAATACTCAAAATAATTGTGAGCCCTAAGATTAAATTTTGGACATGTGGTGCGATGTTTACAAGTTTAATTAAAGTTAGGAGAAAATTAGATTAGCAGAGAATCCCAACTCATAAAAATTAAATTGAAAATGTAGGGTTTGTTTGTTGGGTATTTTATTTGAGAGGTTCAACAATGAGAAGTTTAAGAGTGAGGAGCTTATTTTAGGGTTTCAATCCCATCATCAAACTATTTAAAATATTTAGGCCTCGTTTGGTTCACAGAACAGATTTGAGGGGAAATTATTTCCGACGTCATTTCTCAAATGGTGGGAAATAGAGATTCATTTCCCATGTTTGGTAATCCTAGTAAAGTAATAAAAAAAATATCATTTTATTTCCTTTCACATGTTTGGTTTGTGTAGGAATGTAAAATAAAGTTTGTTTAATTTTTCAATTATACGCATATGAATCAAATAAGAATGCATTTAATGCTATATTGTAATTCTAAATTGTTAATGGAGACAATATGGTCATGAAAAATGTGTATTTAATGTTGGCTTATTTTCCCAAACTTTCTCACGAGGAGGAAAACAAAACCTAAAGGAGGAGGAGGGCTTCACTTTCCCCATACTTTCCCATGTGCAAGGCAACGATTTCTCATGCTTGAACTTACCAAACATGGGAAATCAATTGATTTCCCACACCGAAGGCTCATTTATCTTGAGTCAAATGGGGCCTCAAGTTGATTGATTTTCTCACATTCATTGATGGTGGGATTAAACCTCTCACTCCTCATTGTTGGATAAATTTAGCTGGGTTTTGTTTATTCGTTTATATTCTATATAGGCTTATTATCACAAAATGTCTCTAAGGTTTACGAAACTATCAGATTGCATCCTTAATATTTTTTTGTGTCACTCGTGGTCCTCAAGGTTAGTATGTGCGATCACAAATGGTCCATGCCGTTAGGTTCCGTAAAAAACTCTGTTAGTTTGCTGACTTGGCATATATATATATATATATCACAAAACATCCCTGAGGTTCACACACCTATTACAAATGGTCCCTTTGAATTTTTATTTTATTTTTTAATTTAAAATTAATAAAATTTTGGTTTTCTTTTTAAAATTATTTATAAATGAAAAAACCATATATAGAAGGATTTTAATCTTGATGACCATTTATGAACCATAAACCCTTAGTTTTTTCATTTTTAAATTTTATGAATTTTAAATTATTTTTTAAAAACTTCATTAATTTGTTGATGTGGCATGTATGTGGAGCCCACATCTACAATATTATAGTGTCACATGTATTTAAAATATAATATGTATTTTTAAATATAAAAAATTTAAAAAAAATTGCATGGACCATTTGTGATAGGTGTGTGAACCTCAGGGATGTTTTGTGATATATATATATATATGCCACATCAACAAACTAACGGAATTTTTTATGGAACCTAACAGCAAGGACCATTTATGATCACACATACTAACCTTAAGGACTACGAATGACACAAAAAAACATTAAGGATGCAATCCGATAGTTTCGTAAACCTAAAGGACGTTTTGTGATAATAGACCTTCTATATATCCCCTCATTTGTGATGTTGGAGAAGATTGAACTCGATATATAGCTTGAGGAGGGTCATAGCTTTATAGCAAGGTGAGGCCAAGACTTGGCCTAATTTTCATTTCCTTTCTTTTAATGTGTAAATTGAAAAGTTGCTTCTCCTCCAGTCCTAGTACTGCTAGCCTATAATATGAATTGTAATTATATGAGGCATTGGACCTCTGTCCTTGCTTCCATATCCTCAAGCTGGAATGCTTCTGATTCCAGTACATTCCACTAGACACTTTGATTTGGCCTTGTCTTGTCACCATTATATATAATGTGCTCCATGTAATGGATCCTTAGCTTAAGTTGTAATGGAGGTAATTCAGCATGCCCTTTTGGAATGCTATTTAAATCTATCTATACCCCTTCCTTTTCTTCTCTCAAATTTTCAGTGTACAGCAGAGTAGGTAGTTTGGTTGAGGGTTTTTTTTTTGGGGGGGTTTAATTAAATACAAATTTATAAATAAACCCAATCATAGACATGTATTTATAAAAAAATTCAAACACTATTTAAACATAGAAACACACCCAAAATCAACAATTGTATATTTTTTAGGTGTGTTTATAAATGGGTTTTGAGTGTTTATAATGATGAGTTTTGGGTGTTGGATTTTTTTATAATTTCAGCCCTCATTTTGGATGTTTTAATGAAACTCCCTTAATTAAAACGGTATGGTGCGGAGACTGAGGGATGCATTCGAGTGAATTCTGAAAATGGCGTCGTTTTGGCTGGTCTCTCGCGCTTCGCGTAGGTTTCTGAAACCTTCGCATTCTTTCTCCCGCACCCTATTTGCAGTTTCTTCTACTTACCAATTAACCACCACCTCGAAAAATCCTAATCCTAACCCTTATCCCAACGCAACCTTGTTGGGCCCATTCACTCAAAGGCACCGTTGGACTCCCAGTTGCGTCGAATTTGATCTCAGACACATCTCCAGCTCGTCTTCATCTACAGGCGCCAAGAACGACGGAAATCGGGCCAGCAATGACGCCAAGGTTGAAGTTGAGGCTTCTTGGATCGACTTGTATTTGCCGAGACAAGCTCGCCCTTATGCGAAGCTCGCTCGCCTCGACAGGCCAATTGGCACCTGGTTGCTCGCTTGGCCTTGTATGTGGTAAGCGATTCTCACTTTTAACTTTTTTAATTTTGGGTTTCTGCAGTGCATTGTTTGGTTTGACGGAAAGTGAAGGAATGTGGAGGAAAGTTTTGAGTTTTGAAACCACATTCACTGATGGCAATTTCGTTTTGTTGAATTTACTTGCTGAAATAAAAACAAGAGTAATCTCTAAACATTGGCAACGATATATTTCTTTGTTTAAGTTGAAGTTGTCTGAAAAGACATGCTTGTTGGTGCAGGTCAATAACATTGGCTGCAAGCCCAGGACACCTTCCTGATATTAAGATGATGACACTATTTGGATGTGGGGCTCTGCTCTTAAGGGGCGCTGGATGCACCATAAACGATCTCCTTGACCGGGATATTGATACCATGGTAATGTCCAATGGCCTTTGCATTTTATTTCATTGCCTGTTTTCTACTGGAATATAATGTTGTTTTACTTTGGTTTTCTATCTTGTGGTGGTGAGTACCTTTCTCTTTTAACTCCAGGTAGAACGTACAAAGTTGCGGCCAGTTGCAAGTGGTCTTTTGACACCTTTTAAGGGGCTTTGTTTTCTTGGATTTCAATTGCTTTTGGGTCTTGGAATTCTCCTTCAACTGAATAATTATAGGTTAGTTTACTTTGAATATCTGCCCTCGTCTCCGTAGCCATTTAGTTAATAAATCTGGTTAAACCAATATTATCTGCAAGCACATGAAGCTCTGTTTACTTCATTGAAATTGACAGCCGCATTTTGGGGGCTTCATCGTTGTTGCTAGTTTTCTCGTATCCTCTTATGAAAAGGTTGACATTCTGGGTAATCAAACCTCTGGTTTCTTAACGTGCCCTGACTTTTTCTTCTTTCGTTAACTTTGATGTGAAACTTAACAGTTGACTAATTAATTGGTAAATGCTATCACGTTTGGTGCAGCCTCAAGCCTATCTAGGTTTGACCTTTAATTGGGGAGCTTTATTAGGATGGGCTGCAGTTAAAGGAAGCATTGATCCAGCCATAGTGCTCCCATTGTACCTTTCTGGAGTTTGCTGGACACTTGTGTATGATACGATATATGCACATCAGGTAAAGCAAATATGTCACTGTAATACTCCCATGGTCAGAAGTTGTAGTTTCCAAGATTTGACTGATGAAAGTTGAAACTAGGAATAAGAGAACTTTTTCAACGCAATCCAACAAATGATGTTTCTGACTATACTTGCAGGATAAGGAAGATGATCTGAAAGTAGGTGTTAAGTCTACAGCATTGAGATTTGGTGATTCAACTAAGGAGTGGATTACTGGGTTTGGAATTATGTGCATCAGCAGTCTTGCCGTCAGTGGATATAATGCTGAAATTGGTTTTGTTGCCTCCTTTATTTTCATATTCTATTTGTTTTATTTTTCTAATTTTTTCTTTTACCGTTATTGGAACTTCAATCCAATTATTTTTACTTATGCCGCATACTCACACCAATCTTTCAACCACGGAGCAGGGTGGCCATACTATGCATTTTTGGCGGCTGCATCTGGACAATTAGCTTGGCAGATTTGGACTGCCGACCTTTCATCCCGGGTTGATTGCAACAGAAAGTGCGTGTTTTCGTGATATGAACTGGATTTCAAGTATTCATAGAAGTTAAATAGGTGTATTGCATCAATATTAATTTTGCCATACTACGTATATCTCCAATCAAAGAGAAACAAAAAAGGTAAATTTTGAAAAAACAAGAAAGTAACTTGGAGGACTTCATGCACTAGGGAAGGAAAAGTTCATTTAGGTTTAAGATTTCTTTACTCTGTTTTGCTTTTAACATCATCAGCTTGCCTCAGCATTTGCTCTTGTCTTGGTTCCAGATTTGTGTCGAACAAGTGGTTTGGTGCTATTATTTTCAGTGGAATCCTATTTGGAAAACTTTCATCATAGGGGTAAGGTTACTTTTGGAGTAGTTACTTCCAACCTTGGGGTACTCCTATTATGGACGATGTCTTGAATCAAGTTTAAATGATTTATGGGATACTGCTTGTAGAATTTTTGAAGGTGGAATTTTTGAGGAAATTCCCTGATTAAATAAGTGGAGGCTGCAAGACGGTTGATATGCTGCACCCGAAGTACAACAATGAAGGATATGAATATTGTCTTTACTATTTGTGGTGGAGAGATAAGTATACTTTAAAATAGACCCCTTTTTTGTAGGGGCAGAACAATTTTGACTAACATAGGCGTCAATGTTGTAACATTCTTTATGGGTGATATTGTTGTAAGACCGTTATTTCCAGTTGACATATTGTTTGATCTAAAAGAGGTTTTCCTCACCTATTCTTTCTCTGTTACATGGCATCATGTTTTTGTTCAAGGAAAATTCAGAGCAATCTTTGGCAAACAAGACATTAGTGAATAACTAATTAATGACTATTATAAATTGAAGAGCAGCACGGGCAGTACTTCTTGTTGTTTTAACAAGATTAAAGCGAGTTTGGTGTCTTTAGTGTAGTATAACAAATGCCACCGTTCTGTTCGTGAGAACTGATCAAAATTGGTCATGAAAACTAACAAACGCGGCGGCAACTGCCACTGGACATTTAATTTCTCTCCTTGTTTATCAAAGCTGATCTCATACCATTTTATTTCACAAATTTCTCTCCTTGCTATATATCCGTCCGATATAACATATACGAAAAAGAGAGATCATGAAGAATCTTTCAGAAGTATTGTGGTTAAACGTAACAGAGGATAATATGGCCCTTGTTTGCGTGGAAATCCCTCCCAGAGTTCACTCAGCCGGTATTTGGAGATATGGTGGTGCGGTGCTAACTTCTGGTGGCGACGGAAGTTCTACATTTCCAGTCCTCGAAAGGCAAATGGGTTTGGCTTTCTTCACCACCCAAATCCTTCATCACATTCTCAGGTGTTTTGGAATTCCCGTCTTTGTCTCTCAAATGCTGGTACCTAAATTTATAATAGCGCTCGCTCAATCTCTAACCAGTTGGTAAGCTTAGCAAGCAAGCGTTAATTGACACCTGTGTAAATTGCAATTTGCATGCAGGCAGGTTTGATCCTTGGTCCAGGGGTTCTGGGGAACATCCCTTCTTACGCCAAATTCATGTTGAGCATTGTGAGTCAGAACGTAATTGGCACACTGACACTGTTTGGGTACTCGATGTTTTTGTTTCTGATAGGAGTGAAAATGGACATAGGCATCGTACTTAGAACAGGGAGGAAGGCCTTGTACACTGGCGTTCTCGCCTCGCTTATCCCTTTAATTCTCAGCCTTCTCTCCCTTAAATTCCTCACCAATCCAAAACTTTTCCAGCTCACCAGAAAAGATATATCCAACCTTGTCTTTTCAGCCATCACCAACTCCCAGTCTTCATTTCCTGTCATCGCCTGCCTCCTCGGCGAACTCAAACTCCTCACTTCTGAACTTGGTCGCTTAGGACTCTCCTCCGCTATTGTCTGCGACATCTTGAGCTTGTTTCTCCGATCTTTCACCCGTCTCGCTTCCCGTTCCATGAACAAAGGCCAAACCGCTGGCCTCATTCCTACTCTTCAAACCGCTTTCTTCATGCTTGTCTATATCTTTGCTGTTGTTTATGTGGCCCGCCCTGCCATGAATTGGATCATCCAGCAGACACCCAAAGGAAAGCCTGTTCACAAAGGCTACCTCTTCTTCATCATGCTCGTCGCCCTAATCACCGGCCTCTTTTCCTACTGGTTGGATCAATTTTTCTACTTTGGCCCTTTCATCTTTGGCTTGGCTGTCCCCGATGGTCCCCCGCTCGGCTCCAGTCTCATTCAGAGGTACGATTTCATGGTCTCCGCTGTTCTTCTCCCGCTCTTTGTAACCTCCAATGTGCTGCTGGTGAATCCCAAAGACATGAGTTTTCAAAGCCATGTTGTCAAGGCAAATGCCACCCTCCTCCTTGTGAGTACCGCCGCCAAATTGATAGGCACTTTCGTGCCTGCGGTCTTCTGTAAGATGCCTCTCATGGATGCTCTCGTGCTCGCTCTCATCTTAAGCTGCAAAGGTGTTGTTGAGTTGGGCAACTTGGCCACTGATGGCGAGACTTTGGACAACGAGGTTTATTGTCTCATGGTATTTGCTATCCTAATCAACGCATGCATTGTGCCATTGCTTGTGAAGCACTTGTACAAACCATCCAGGAAGTATGCAGGCTATCAGCAAAGAAACGTCTCCTGTCTCAGACCCAACTCTGAGCTCCGCATACTTGCCTGCATTCACAGACAAGACAACATTTCCGCCGTCATCAATTTGTTGGACGCCTGCTGTCCAACCAAAGACAACCCCATTGGCCTCTATGTCCTTCACCTCATCCAGATGTTCGGCCAAGCCACCCCTCTTTTCATTTCCCACAGAATGCAGAGGAAGACCATCTCCAACTGCGCCTACTCAGAGGACGTGCTTCTTTCCTTCTTTAATTTCGAGCGCGACTTCTGTGAAGCTGTCACAGTCCACCCTTTCACAGCCGTGTGTCCATCCGATTCGATGCACGAGGACATATGCACCCTTGCTCTCGATCGGCTCGCATCTCTCTTGATCCTCCCTTTCCATCGGCATTGGACTCTGGATGGCTCCATCAAATCACAGGATCCGACCATAAGGTCCTTGAACATCAGCGTCCTCGAAAGAGCACCGTGCTCTGTTGGAATTCTTGTGAACCGTGGCCCTCTGAGACAGCAAGGCAAATCCACCTCATCCTCACAAGCACTGCAATACAAAGTTGCCTTGATCTTCTTGGGAGGAGAAGATGATAGGGAGGCATTGGCCTTAACTCAACGGATGGCAGCTGATCCGAGCATCAGCCTAACAGTCTACTATCTCACAGCCTCGACAGACAGTGACGTCCCCGACTGGGGCCGGATTCTTGACATGGAGAGCTTGAGGAATTACAAGGAGGCCTATGTTAGCAATGACAGCTATGCATTCTACACAGAGGAAGTGGCAGAAAACGGACCCCAAACTGTGGCGATACTTCGGAATATTGTGAACCAATATGAGCTTTTGGTTGTTGGGAGAAGAAAGAACATGGAAACCTCTCAAACTTCAGGACTTGATGAATGGAGTGAATTCCCGGAGCTTGGTATTGTCGGGGACATGATTGCCTCTGATGATTTCAGGTGCAGATGCTCTATCTTGGTGGTGCAAAAACAACAATATACGACTTCGTAATGGAAGATTGAGCTAGTCATCGTCTATTGTTTGATTGTCACACGAGGAATTTCGGCAGCACAAAACTCTGTGCATGCCATTGCCAATTTGCCCTGCAGGTGGTGCAGCAAACATGAATTCTTCATCCGCAATCAGCTCTAAATGTGGCAATCTTCCTGACATGTATTTCAAACAGTTGGTGCTAATCTTGATTTTTGTACAATCCAGGGAAAGATTGTTGGAATTTTTGCGAGTATTTCAAAATACAATTAATTTATTATTTGATTGATTTAAACTAAAATTATTTACATATTTATAATATATAAATACTTGTTTATTTTATATCGATTCTAATATCAAATTTAATGGGACGTAACTTTTTGGTTTTAATCAGCCCACAATTGCTATTTTCATAGTCTATGTTTTGATTTAAAAAACCCTTTGGTGTATTTATGCGTCAGTTTTAGGTTGACTAATTTTTTGGTCTTGATTTGGTGTATTCATTTTGTTTTTTAGCCTTGAGTTGGTTTTGTATTTAATTGGTTATTTGCTGTTGAGCTTTTAAAGCTTTTAAGTTACATTGCATGCTGCATCGTACGGTAGGAAATTGTTTGCAAAAACAGGCAGGCAATTTTATCTGATTTTATTGCAATTGGTTTAATGCATTTGAGATGTAACAAACTATAAAAAGCCTTAGCTAGTGGGCTGATGGGGAAGATAATTCGAGTTAAGTTGGAGAGAGATATTAGAATTTTAGAGTTTTTCTATTTAAACCACACACTTTTTTCTTGTTCATCCCAATACTTAAATCATTAAGTTTTTAAGTTTTATTATTGTGTAAAAAGACAAAATAAGGTCATCCAACTTAATACTTAACCCTAGTACATCTATATACACACCCCACACACCCGACCACTTAGAAGACGTCAAATTCAATATGAGTTTCCTAAGCGACTGGTATGACAGTTATCCTCGCACCCATAGATTGAATCTAACTCGTCTTTCCCTTCCCTTGAAAAAAAAACAAAAAAGCCAATTTGAGTTTCTTCGTCTTTGATGAATTGACTTAGATATCTTGAAGAGTATGTGAAAGACTGAAGTCAATATGGCCACATGCAAAAGCGTGATTGCTGATACAAAATTAGAAGCTCTGGTGACTATGAAGAGTGATTGTTGAAAATAAAACCAAAACCTCCTTGGAATTTTAATAATAAATAAAATAAAACCAAAACATCTTGTACAACTTAATAATAATTATAAAATAATGTTGTTAACAGTTTTTTTTTTTTTTTTAAATCTTTTTAAGTAATGTGAGGTTGAGGTGAACTTAGAGTGGTAAGGGGCAATATAGCGGGGTATGAGGTGTGATGTGAGGTGTGAGGTGTGAGGTTGATGAGTTATTATTATTATTATTATTTTGTTGGGTGTGTATTTAAGGGTAGTTTGGGAAGATAGTGAGGTTTTCTTATAAATTATGAATATTTGAATTAGAAGTTGTGGTGAACTTATAATATGGGATGAACCAAGAGAAGTGCGGAGTTTAAATATAAAAAAACTCGAATTTTATTGGACCACATTTGAGCAATTATTATTTTATTTTATTTCCTCCACATTCTTTATTTTTCATAAGAAAGAATCAAGTTATTCATCCAACTCAAGTATTGCAAGTGTACACTTATGAAAGTTATATGTTGTTGTATCTTAGAGGGTAGGCTGCCATACAACCTTACTACACCAAGACATTGTCTCTGAGGGGTGAAATCTACTGTTAAGGACAGTAAATGACACGCCTCAACCTAAAGCTATTATTTTACTCAAGCATGAATGGAGAAAGATCTTCTACGTCCCAAAAGATAAATATTTTTCAGTTATTTTATGAATTTCATCTTATTTGCCATGTCAATAAAAATTATAATTTATTAACAATTATTTATGTGATATTTTGCAATTTTCAGCGAGGAGTCCAAGCCCGGGCGCAAGGTGGGACCCAGCAACCTGGGCTGGCCCGAGCTCAAGCCCTCGTTTTGGTGCTGGCGTCAGCGCTACAATGCCGCTACAGCAATACAATGCTACATCGCTACAGTACCGTTAAAGTCCATGTGTCGCGCTCTAGGCTCTCCGATCAGATTTTTTTCTCCAATCCAACGGCAACCAACTTTTGTGCAATAAAAAAAAGAAAAAAATAGACTTTTTTTATTATAAAAAATACTAAAAAATTACTGATTTTTTTTTTCTATAAATACCAACCAATACTCTTCACTTTTAACACCAAATCCTCATACATTTTCTTCTCCTTCTATTATTATTCACTTTCTACTCAATATTTTTTTCACTTTCAAGTTTTATTTTTCTCTATCATATTATGGCTTCTTCTATTGAAACCGGAGGGGCATGGAGCACGATATCTTATCAGAAAATTTTTAATTTGAAATTGATCTAAAATTTGGATTTTGAAATTTATACTTGTTGATTTGCCAATATTTTCTAAAGTTTCTTGCATTTTCATTTTTTTTATATAGATTATGCAAGCACAAATGAATAGTATTGACACGTAGAAACCTACAAATCTTATTCGAAAATATTATCCAAATTAATTGTTTAAGTAAAAAAAAGTTGTGAAAAAAATAAATAAATAAATAGTAATTGTCATTTGCTATGGCAACGGGTGGAAACGGAAATGACTTTTTGTAAGGGCAACCACTATTCACGTGAATAGTGGCTGCCCTAGCTCCCCCCTTGCCATGACAAAGAGCAAATGGGTGGAGTTGCTCTTAGCATGAGACAACTCATCCCTTGCAGTGCAGGGCCAAGAAGGGAATTGCATTTAAATTAAAGAAAATACACAAAACAATGGTCTTTAGTGAAATAAATTGTGCAAATATATATTTGGTATGGGATCTCCAGAAACAGCAAATCGCATGTGACATTCTGACTTTTATGCCATCTTACAACCTATCATTGCGTGCGTGTCTGCAATGCAAACCTTTTCCGTGTCCATTCAACTTCTCCAACTTCGGAATTTCCATTGTAATTAATTAGTAGGGAGGAGGATTTGTCGAAATGCCGGAAAATGCATCCATTCTAAATTCTAAATTCTAAATGCACAGAGTCACAGTCCAAACTAAAGTAGGAACATGAATTTATAATTCCTAATTAAATATTTCAATATATTTTGATGCCAACTATTCCACCAATACTCTAGGTTTATAGGTTAAATTTAGCTTCTAATTTCATAAGTATCGATAAAATTCACTTGAATTGACTCAAACACCCTCAAAATTAGAACCCAATCACACTTGGATTCTAAAGTTGCAGGAATCCATCGCATTTAAGTTTTAGGTTGATTTGGTATTTAAATTTTAGGGTGTCGGAGAGTCTACTCAAATATTTTTTTTATATATGGGTAAAATTATGAGCTAATAAAACTTAGGCTACAAAAAAGTAAAAACTATGTGATTCATAGGGAACGCTAGCAACCTTCTCTCTAACCTTCTCTTTTGCACATTCTCCCTTCTCTTCATGACATGTGTTACTTTATCTACACTTAAAACAATGTCATTAATACATTTGACAATGCATCTTTTGTTTCCCAAATTTACCCTTATTAAATGCATTGGACAAACTAGCTTTTGTTTCCACTTTGTTAAAAAAATTAAGAGGAAATTTTAACATCTCCCACAAAATTAACGTTAGTTTTTTTTTTAAAAAATAAAAATATATGTTTACTCTTTTTTTGGTGAGTGAAGAGAAGATGGGTTTTTAGGTATGACATTGAAGGAGGAGAGAGAATGAGAAGCACAATGCGCAGTGGAGTTTTGAATTGGAGAGAAATGGTGATGATTGGGTAGGGATGGGGGCGTTGTTTTGGCCAAGGGAGGGGACTGGGTTTTGGGTTAGAGAGAGAGAGAGAGGGAGAGAGAGATGGTGTAATGGGTTTGGGTTTTTTTTTTTTTTTATATTTATTTTTTTTAATAGTTTCTTTTTATCTTTTAACTTTTTCATTCAATTAGAATCTTCATTAATTTAAAAAAATATTTATCTGTTTTTTTTATTTCCATAAATTTTAACAGTTTTATTGAAAAACTTATTTTCGGAAAATTGAAAAACCTATTTTTGGAAAAAAAAGAAGTTTTGTTTTAGGGAAGTATAATTCGTTTTTATTTTCAAATATTTATTTGATTGAACTTTTAGTGTTTATTTTTAAAATTTGATTGTTTAAGTCAAGTTGTAAATTGAAGGAAATATAAAGTTAATACATTTAATAAGGGTAAATTTGGGAACAAAAGATATATTGTCTAATGCATTAATGTCATTGTTTTAAGTGTAGAGAAAATGACACATGTCATTAGGAGAAGGGAGAAGGAAGAAGGTTCAAAAGAGAAGGTTGGAGAGAAGGTTGCTAGCATTCCCCGTGATTCATATAGGATGGAATATTTTAATAAAATAAAATAAAATAATATAGGATGGAATCTTCGAGATAGTAGTGCAGATTCTCTCAAATCCGCGTCAAGCAAAAAGTCTATGTAACAGCCACGTGTACGCTTGAAACTCGCTATCTCCTACTCCTAATGTGAATAACAATCACAAATTGCGTCCTAATTAGCGCGTCTATAGAGAGAGAGAGAGAGAGAGAGAGAGTACGCACTCTTCCAACCCATTTTGGATTCTGTTTTGCGAGCCCAAATATCACTCGTCCTAATGCTAGTTGGCTAAGACCTCCCCTCCTAAAATTAACACAACCAAAAATATATATAAAAGGGCTGAGAGAGCAGGCACAAAATCAACACACAAAGGCCGATAGATCGATCTATCAAATCGAATCGAATAGAATCGAAGAAATCAACCATGGAGAGAAGCGTCAGCAAACGCAGCAATACTCAAAGTGACGACTTCGAAGTAAAACAAACGGCTAAGAAGAAGGTGATTGTGGAAGAGGCATTCAAGACGACGCCGGTGCCTCCATGGACGAAGCAGATAACTGTGAGGGCAATGGTCACCAGCTTTCTCTTGAGCATTGTCTTCAACTTCATCGTCTGCAAGTTGAACCTCACCACTGGTGTCATCCCCTCCCTCAACGTCGCCGCCGGCTTGATGGGTTTCGCCGTCGTCAAAGGCTACACCGCCATGATTGAAAAATGTGGCCTCCTGAAGCAGCCCTTCACTCGCCAAGAAAATACCGTCATCCAAACTTGCGTCGTCGCCTCTTCCGGGATCGCCTTTAGCAGTATGTTTTCAAATTCAATTCATTTATTCTCTTTTGTTATTCATGGAATGGAATGGAAGATTCCAGATCTCTATATTCATATATAATACTAATAGCAGAGAGAGAATTAATATTATATGAATGAATCTAACAAGAAGAACATCAAAAATTACACCTTTTAGAATAGTGTATCTTTAATTTGGCCGTGCATGAGGAACTTGGATAAAAACAATATAATAATAATACTACTCTGTTTGTTCTTAGACGACTAGGATGGATGTTGAGAGAGGAGAGTCAGAGTCAAGAGACGTGTTAATATAATATTATTGAATTTGTGTATGCTTTTTTGCTGCTTATTGATCATCTATTTAATTTAATTTAATTTAATTATATCTTGTTTGACATTAATTAGGTGGTACTGCAAGTTATATACTGGGGATGAGTCCGAAAATTGCTGCTCAAGGAGATGAAGGCAACACCCCAATCAACATCAAGCATCTTGATGTGGGATGGATGATTGGATTTCTCTTTGCCGTCAGCTTCGTCGGCTTGTTTTCCATCATGGCCCTAAGAAAGGTAGTTTGAATGTGAAATTACTACTTCATATCATCAACACACACAAAACACAACATATATTATTAATGTACAAAGATTTAATTGGTTTTCTTTCCTTCAATTGCCGACAGATGATGATCATAAAGTACAAGTTAACGTACCCAAGTGGAACCGCAACTGCATACCTCATCAACAGCTTTCACACACCCAAAGGAGCCAAGCTAGCCAAGTAAGCATTACTAACATATATAAATTTAAGGGAAATTGGCGGCTTTGACCAGGCTTCAATGTTTTATTCATTCGAAAAAGTCCCCTCTTGGCCCCATATCACCTTTTTATCACTTTTTTTGTCTCTGAAATTGGTGTCTGCTCTCTCTCTCTCTAAAAAATTTGCTTCTTCTTCTTCTTCTCTGCTCTTCTCTTCTCTGATATGAAACCCCAAATTCAATTCTTCTTGGCCTTTGAAATTTTTTTGAAACTCATTCAAACTCAGCTCGTTAAGAGAGAGAGAGAGAGAGAGAGAGAGAGAGAGAGAGTAGCATAATGCAAAGGCCCCGTCCCATAATCCCATTCAGACTTTCAAGTTCAGTTTCTTCCCAACCTCTCCCAAGGGAGTATGGAGTGTTTAAATTTAACTTGCATTCTCTTCTTTTATGAATTAATGAGATCAGCTAGCAAGAAAACACACATTGACTTCATTTCTAGCTTTACTTTGTATTTTCTAATTAAACCTTTGAAATTTAGAACTTGCTTCTCCTGAGTCCTGATTTTGATTATGTGTTCATTGTATTTATTCTTCTTATGAACCATTTAATGCAGGAAACAAGTTTCTGTTCTCTTCAAAAGCTTCTGCTTTAGCTTTGTATTTGCCTTTTTCCAGTGGTTTTTCGCTACTGCCGATGGCTGTGGATTTTCCAGCTTCCCAACATTTGGTCTCAAAGCCTATGCACGCAAGTATGTCTACAAGTCTTTCTTAACTATTATATTAATATCTTGTCCTCATGAATGCCTCAATTCCAATATTAACTTTTATCGTAAATTGACTGCAGGTTTTACTTTGATTTCTCATCGACATATGTTGGTGTTGGAATGATTTGCCCTTTCATGGTAAATATATCTTTGCTTGTTGGATCCATTATTTCATGGGGAATCATGTGGCCCTTGATTGAGCAAAAGAAAGGTATCTGGTACAGCGCTAATCTATCTGCCAGCAGTCTCCATGGCATCCAAGGATACAGGGTATGCCGTCAAACTTCCTCTGCCGCAGCTAGCTTGTCGAATTTCCAGTACTTTATAGCATTTGCTTTATTTCACTGTATTTGTTCTGATGTTCTTAATTAATATATTGCAGGTTTTTATTGCTATAGCCATGATGCTTGGTGATGGTTTATTCCATGTAGTCTACATGCTATGCCTGACCACGAAAAGTCTTGCAACACACAAATCAGAAAAGAAACTAGACTCATATTCATCACCATCTACAAATCCTGATGGTCTTGAAGCAGGGTCTTCAGAAGTCGTGTCTGCAAACTATGATGAAGAACGACGAATGGAGTACTTCTTGAAAGACCAAATTCCCAACTGGGTTGCGTTGGTTGGTTATGTTGCCCTTGCAGCCATATCCATCATTGCAGTGCCCTTCATCTTCCCCCAACTGAAATGGTACCATGTGCTGGTTGCTTATCTGATTGCCCCAGTCTTGGCCTTCTGCAATGCCTATGGCTGTGGCCTCAGCGATTGGTCCCTTGCCTCCAACTATGGCAAATTCGCCATCATAATCTTCAGTGCTTGGGTTGGCCTTGACCGTGGCGGTGTTATTGCCGGGCTTGCTGCCTGTGGTGTGATGATGAGCATTGTCTCTACTGCTTCTGATCTCATGCAAGACTTTAAGACAGGATATCTCACACTCTCATCTCCTCGATCTATGTTCGTCAGCCAAGTGTTTGGGACAGCCATGGGTTGTGTCATGTCTCCTTTGGTGTTCTGGTTTTTCTACAAAGCTTACCCGATTGGAAATCCAGACGGCGCATATCCTGCACCCTATGGCTTGATGTACCGTGGAATTGCGCTCCTTGGAGTTGAAGGTGTGAGTTCCCTTCCCAAAAACTGCGTCACCCTTGCGGTGTCGTTTTTTGCAGCTGCAATTGCCATAAACATAATCAGCGAGCTGTTGCAGCGTTATGAAACCAAGTACAGGATCTATAGGTTTATTCCGAGCCCCATGTGCATGGCCATCCCATTCTATCTTGGTTCATACTTCGCCATAGACATGTGCGTGGGGAGCTTGATCCTGTTCCTGTGGCAGAGGAAGAACAAGCAAAAGGCCGACAACTTTGCACCTGCTGTCGCTTCTGGTCTCATCTGCGGTGACTCCTTATGGGGTGTTCCAGCTGCTATCCTCGCAATTGTGGGAGTCAAAGCTCCTATTTGCATGAAGTTCCTCTCTGCTTCTGTCAACAACAAAGTTGATTCTCTTTTGAATGGATGAAGAGGAAGAAGAAGAAGCTTCAGACTTAAGTTGCTAGCTTTGATTGTGTGTTTGTGTATATAATGGCAGCCTACAGAATGCAGATGCTAGCTAGCTAGCTGCTTATTTCATTACTTGATTACATTTATATTCTGATCGATGTTACTATGTTAGTGGGTAGAATTCTCTCCTAGGTAGGTACATGCAAAAAAGAATTGGATTTCTGTTTCTTTCTTCATGATATTTTTGAAAATCTTCTTAATTTATGTTTTCTGCTTTTGTTTCAACTTTATTTATTGTTTACGCTCAATGGGTAATCTTATACACACATTAAAAAAATTAGTCACACACTTTGACTGAAAAATTGACCCCGACAAAACAAAAAAACATTAACTGCCCTACCTAACATTACTGAAAGTTCACATAGGCCCTGAAACAGCTTTGGATTGGATCACTGTTTTCCTTTTGGGCCCAACGATACTCAACAAAACGACAGTAATTAGCCTACTTGTCATTAGTCTTCTTTTTCTTCTTCTTTTTGATAACTTAAGTTATCATTATGCTTCTCTTTAATATATAATCATCACAGTTGTTATTTTCCCAGTGAACTACCCTAATTAAAATACCATCGGAGAGAGAGGTCTCTCTATTTTTTTTAAAAAAATTTTCCTTTTTTTGAAAATAAAAAAACTAAAATACCCTTAAAAATAAATGAAAAATTGAATACAAATTTATAAATAAACCCAATCCTAGACATATATTTATAAAAAAAATCCAAACACTATTTAAACATAGAAACACACCCAAAATCAACTCCAAAATCAACAATTGTATATTTTTTGTGTGTGTTTATAAATGAGTTTTGAGTGTGTGTAATGATGAGTTTTGAGTGTGTTTATAAAGTGTTTTAAGTGTTGAGTTTTTTTATAATTTCAGCCCCCATTTTGGGTGTTTTAGTGAAACTCTCAAAATTGAATGACGTTAAATCAGATTACAAATCATGAATTTTAAAAAATTAAGGTGACATTCCTCTTAAATTTTTCTTTAAAGTAACAAATTGAAACTAAGGTATAAGTGCAGGTGATATTTCAACAATTATCTCTTATTCTTCAATTAATAATCATCACAATTGTTATTTTTTCAATGAACTACCCTAATTAAATTTGTATATTAATATTTTGGTCTAAACATTTTTGCTTTGTATAATAAAATCAATTATTTTTCATACACGCAATATCCATTGGAGGCGAAATAAATATTTTTTTTTAAAATTATTTTCGTTGGGCCCTACTAAGAAATCATTAAAAATTAGAAAAGAAATCAGAAAGGGCAAAAAGGGAACAGCGAGGCCATTGCCAACTAACAAATCATACGGCCATACGACTCAGGCGACTAATTTGCTAATTCTAATTGGTAGTACCTTCGATAGGCGGTCGCTGATAAATTGAAAGTTTATTTATTATAAAACCCTTGGGCCTCTACTCGCTCACTCTTTTCCTCGCGTGAATCGTTATCTAGAGAAACAAGGGCATTCTTTATTTCTTCTTATTTCTCTGAGGAAAGCGAGCAAACCCTAATCTAAACAGCAAACCAGTCTGATAGTTGTGGTAGTGGTCGTCTTCAGCATATCATCAGTCATGGCAGAGGCACAGACGAGACGCGGGGGAGGGATGACCGGGGACGAGAAGCTCGAGTTCGTGACGTCTGATGGGATAGAGCCGATCATGAGCTTCGATAAGATGGGTTTAAGGGACGATCTGCTCCGAGGCGTCTACAACTACGGCTTTGAGAAGCCCTCCGCCATCCAGCAACGTGCCGTCAGGCCCATCATTGAGGGCCGTGACGTCATTGCACAGGCCCAGTCCGGTACCGGCAAGACCTCCATGATTGCCCTCACCGTCTGTCAGCTTGTCGATACCTCTTCCCTAGAGTACGCCCTAATTTCCATTCCTAGCCCCTAGGGTCTCTTTTTTCTTTTTGTTTGTTTGTTTCTCGGGAAAAAAAATTGTATCTGATGTATGTATTTATGTACATAGGGTTCAGGCTTTGATATTGTCTCCAACAAGGGAATTGGCGGCGCAGACGGAGAAGGTGATACTAGCAATTGGTAATTTCATAAATATAAAAGCCCATTCTTGCATTGGAGGCAAAAGCGTAGGCGAGGATATCAGAAAGCTTGAGTACGGTGTTCATGTGGTGTCTGGAACTCCTGGTAGAGTCTGTGATATGATCAAGAGGAGAACTCTCCGCACTCGAGCCATTAAATTATTAATTCTCGTTAGTCTCTCTTCTCTCTTCTTCCTTTTCTCTGTTTTTGGCGGTGTCTTTTGGATTTCTCCCTTTCTTATTTTCTTAATTTCTGTCTCGCTTGGTTGGTTTGTTTTTGCTTTCCAGGATGAATCTGATGAGATGTTGAGTAGAGGCTTCAAGGATCAGATTTATGATGTCTACAGATATCTTCCACCTGAGCTCCAGGTTTTCTTTCTCTCTTCATATATCTATATACCCATATGCTCGTCCTCTTTGCTTATGTACTGTTTTCTCTTTCTGTAATTGTATTTCTCTCTAATATATATGCTGGGCATTGCTATGTTCCAAATCTTGTTTAAATTTAGAGTTTCTGTCTGAAATCAGTTGTAATGTTGTAGGTTTGCTTAATTTCTGCTACACTTCCTCATGAAATTTTGGAGATCACCAACAAATTTATGACTGAACCTGTAAGGATCCTTGTCAAACGTGATGAGTTGACTTTGGAGGTACGCAATGCTTCTGTATTGTATAGTTGTATGCATGCTTCCTTTCAATGCAATGTGAATTTTGTAGTAAATTGTGTAATTCTGATGACAGGGAATCAAGCAATTTTTCGTTGCGGTTGAAAGAGAAGAATGGAAGTTTGATACGCTTTGTGATCTTTATGATACCCTTACAATTACACAAGCTGTTATTTTCTGCAACACAAAGCGAAAGGTAAACTGTTATATACTGTCAGATTTGATTTGTGATATTAATATCAAGTTTGACCCAAAAAGAAGGGTTGCAAAGCTGCTGTTGTTGGGTTATGGATTCTGGGTGCAAATTAGAAAATAAAATGGTTACCTGACCTACCTTTGAGATATTTGATTTTTACTGACACACTAGCATATACAGTGGTCAATGTACATTTAGTTATATTATTTAAGAAGAGATTATCAATACAGCTTGTCCTCTTGATTATCAATACAATCGTTTCTATTCAAAAAAAGAAGAAAAAAAGAAGAGATGGTTTAAACATTTTTTTTCCTCGTGTGTCTTATAGCCTACATAGTTATATGGTTTTTTTCGTTAGTGGCTACTCGTTATACATCAATTCATACCTTTAGAATTCTAATCTGTCAGGTGAAAATAGAGGCATGCAAAAAAGGCTGTTTGTAATAGTTTTCCTTATGGGGCAAGCCATACCTTTCTGGTTGCTTAACTATTCCTTTCATGGTGCATCACTGATGCAATCTCATTGGGACAGGTGGACTGGCTCACCGAAAAGATGCGGAGTAATAACTTTACTGTGTCTGCAATGCATGGAGACATGCCTCAGAAGGAGAGAGATGCTATTATGGCCGAGTTTCGTGGTGGCACTTTCTCATAAATGTCTAATCATTAGATAGACATAAAATCTCTTGACCTTGAATCTATTTTGTGTGAATAATTGAATAATTAACTGTTGAATTATATTGAATTGTTCTTTTGTGTACCCATATGTGTGTGGGTAAACATGTTGTGGACATAACTATAGTTGTTTACCTGGGACTAATGGGGCCACCTAAATTTACAACTTTCCAGAGAAATTGCTATTAATCGAAGTGATGTTTTTGGAAATTCCTGTTAATGAGTTTGTACTAGTTGGAGGGCCTAGAGAACCTTCAAGTGGGATTGCTTTTTGCTGCAAGGATTAGGTGTGCTATATCTGTGGGACAGTGAACATGCAGACTATAGATGTTTAAGTTGCCTCCAAAAAAACCTTTTTGCTTTTAATAGTTGTTTTGCTACTCTTATTCTTAATGCTTGTTTATGTTTTTGCCTTCATCAGGTTTCCTTGGTTATCAATTATGATCTTCCAAACAACCGTGAACTGTACATTCATCGGATTGGTCGTTCTGGTCGTTTTGGGCGCAAGGTTTGTATTCTTTAATCATTATTGGCAGTAGTGTAAGTTTACACCATCTTACATTTTTTGTGCGAGTTATATATTATTTATTGATAGATCCAATGTTGTGTTTATGCTTTTTTTGTATGCCAAATTTGAAGTTAATTTGTTGCCCCTAACAATTCCATCTATATTGTATTAGAAATTGCAATTTTCGCTCTACATCTTATGCGAGAAATTTGGTGGTGCTAATGAGATCCCAATGGCATTTAGTTTAAGGATAGATTGAGAAATAGTAGAACCACTAATAAAGTTATGAGATGTGTAACATGGTTTGGTTGAATCCATAGTTTGAGCCATTTTTAGATGAGTTGGCCAGTTATTTGGATTGATAGATCATTTTAGATACTGCACCCGTTGGGCATTTGTAAACTCTCTAGCCAGTTTTGCCCTTAAAAAATTATCCTGCAAATGCATTCCTACTGCACATTTTGAAGTTGACCATTTATGAGTTGGTGTGAAAGATGCTTCATCTGTGCTATTAGGAATCAATATTGTGTTTCATAATGTACTTTTTTAAACTGGTGTTATTTTATTTCTTTTCGTTAGCATATTTTTTTGCAAGTGCTGATTAAAATGGGCGATTTGCACCCGTTGGGCATTTGTAAACTCTCTAGCCAGTTTTTGCCCTTAAAAATTATCCTGCAAATGCATTCCTACTGCACATTTTGAAGTTAACCATTTATGAGTTGGTGTGAAAGATGCTTCATCTGTGCTATTAAGAATCAATATTGTGTTTCATAATGTACTTTTTTAAACTGGTGTTATTTATTTCTTTTCGTGAGCATATTTGTTTGCAAGTGCTGATTAAAATGGGCTATTTGATTGTATGTAGGGTGTGGCAATAAACTTTGTCAAAAGCGATGATATTAAGATCTTAAGAGACATAGAACAGTATTACAGTACCCAGATTGACGAAATGCCAATGAATGTTGCGGACTTGATATGAGAGTTGCTAGCCATCCTGTGTGCAAATGGATGTTGGTTGTTCTGATGTTGATTGACTAATTTGTGCAGTTGCCCGGGCTTTATTTTGCAATGGATTGTACACTAGCAGAAGTTGGAATGATTTTGAGTTATGATAACGTGCTTTAAAGTTTCACATTAGGCTGGTGTGACAAATTTTAAGCACCTTGTGTGCAGATTGGGTACTTATTGTATTTGGGTTTTGTTGTATTTGGTATTGAATTCAAGTTAATTTATTAGTTTTGCGCATGCTCGATCACGAAGGTTGCACTCAAAGCTTACTAACGTTTGATTCAGTAGCTTGAATCTGCGATATTTCTCTTTCCGTGATACCAAAATGCATCAATTTACTAGGAAAGCCAACTCTAACATGATAATCCTAAGGTTTTCCTGGGCCCATCCCCTGGCGTTGGAGGTTGCAAAATGTAACCGAGTTACCCCCCACCCAACAGGGATGAATCAGTTTTAATTTTTCTAAGGCACGATCCAGAATTGGGAAACAAACAGAAGTGATAGTAGTAGGAGAGCATCACCAATCGAAGACACGTAATTAATATTGAGATAACTGTCTACGGTAAAAGCTTACAATACACATTAGACCAACTTGAACAACACATGGAAAAGGGTTAAGCTCGGAAAATTATTTAAACCAAATGAAGGCAATCGAAGCAGCTCACTGATAATAAAAATAAGGCTACGTTCGTAACCAGAACGGGGAGAAACTAAAACTTAGGGAACAAAAAGGGGCATAAATACACTTTTCCTAAACAATCCAATATACAATATACGAGAGCTTGAATTTACAATACGGTGTTAATATGGAGTGCTTTAAGCAGCGAAGTAGCCATTTGTTTCACCAACACTTGGCCTCCAGAGCGTTGCCCATCTCTGCGTTCCTCTATTAAATTCTGTAGCTTCTGAGGCAGATCATTCTCCACAATTAACTGCTTTGGCCGCGGGTGGTGTTCATAAACAGCCTGCCATGACATATTTATAGGCATTATAATAACAATAGGAAGCAAATACATAGGTTTCAACAATACTATGTATCTTAACATTATAAAATGCATGAATTAGTAAATACTCATAAAAAGACGAGGTCACACCCCACTGTATCAATCATAAATTTGGTCTTTGTGGTGCCTTAATCCAACATCATGGTTCAGTTAGGAAATTACCATTGACCAAACAAATAAAAGCACAGAGGACACGTCATAAAAACACTAATAATATCCAACAGAAAACATGAGTCAGTTCTAAATCAAGTGATTTGGTTGTTATTCAGTTTCCCACTGTGATAGCGTTGCACCCCATTTAAACCCTTTCAGGGTCAACATTAGTGTATATTCTCTTTGTATTTTCTCAAAGTCATCACAGATGAGCCAAGATGAGATTCAAGAAAAAGGATTCTCACCTTTATCAGTTTAAGAAGATTTAGACGGGCAATAGCATCCTGATGGTCCAGTCTTGTAATAAGCAGCGGTGTCAAACCATTAACAGCTAATGTTGTATTAATTCGAGATGATTTCCTGCAAAAGGACAAAAGAAAAAAAAGGTCGTTCATAAATGAAGCAACTTTTATAAATAAAAACCTTCCAGACATAAGACAGATTATTTTTTGATAGGCTTGCCAAGAGGCTATTGCCTTGTGAAACAGCTAATTCAAAAATGGCTATACACATATAAATCACATACGTGATAATTTTCAAAAATGGCTCCAATATGTGCACGAAATACTGTTCTGGACAGCACTGGAAGAATTTCACCAATTTCTGAACTGCATCCTTTTTCAACAACGCTTGTTCAACCTTCCGGTTGTCATTGTCAAGAGCTAAGCAAACAGCAATGGAATCCAATGCGGTCACAGACCAGAGCTCATCCTCGAGAAGGCTCAAGTAAACATCCAATCCACCATGAGCCCTTAATTGCTCCCTTGAATTACGTGATGCATGAGCCATATCACACAGTAAAGGCAACGCATATTGTTTCAAAGGAGAATTAGACTCAATAAAATGCATTAAGTGTGGAATTATTCCATTCTCAGCTGCTTGTTCCTGTCTTCTCTTGTTAATCTTGCAAAGATTGAATAGAGCATTGAGGACCTGCAAAAGAAGTAAAGAACAATGTGGTAATCAGAAAACTTAAAGACAGACCAAAATGATTTTAAAAAAAAGGCCAAACGGTTCTACATAAAACAGGTATTGCATGAATATGTAAAACACAACCCGAAGTAGTTCGCTCTGAGTGGCATGATTGTAATTTGTACTACTGAATACCGAGACATTCTATTAACACAATTGTTTTCTGGACATGGTACTTTTAATTGTTCTTTGCTTTTAGTTAGATGTTAAAAGTTATGCTTGTACCACCAGTGGACTTCTTGTTCACTGCTATTTACCTTTTTCTTTTCATTTTATATTAAGAAATTTCCTGTTTCTTATCAAAAGCATCCTATATGTAGAGTTAATATCCATACAGACTAAAATCCTGAAAATTTATACAGTTCTATGATGAGGTACATATGTATGCTGTTCTTAGAAATAAAAAAGAGCCGAGCATGAAACTTTTGGCGACCATGTATATGGACATTTTGTTATAGTATAACACCTATCCTCTGAAGATAAACGATTCTTATACAGCACAACATGGAACCGGAGTATGGAAGTACAATGTTAACTCTAAAAAATAAATGAGAAATTTTTTCAGTTTTTCTCAGCAAGGCAAAAGAGGACAAGAACTTGAAATAAGATTTTAGAAACTTCTTCAGTTTTGCCAAGTACTTTTCCATTATAACATCAACTTTACTAAGATGACAATATAGTAGAACAATAAAGGACAGAGAGGTCACATACAAACACAAGTTGAACCACTTACATAACTAATTACTAAAAAAGATCATAAATATAGTATCAAACAACAAAGACTGTAAAATGCACAGCTTACAAGCCAAACATTCACTGTCACTGTTAGAAATAGGACAGAAGGCCCACCTCATGATGTATTTGAGATACAAGAGCTCCTTCTTTGAGTTCGAGATTGGGAATCAAATATTTAATTGCATCTGCCCGCTGAAGATTCTCTAAGCAGTTTGGATCAGTTGATAAATAGTTGACACATTTCAGTATCTGTAAAATGACAGAGCACCAACATTATCTAGGGTTACAGCACATAAATCACTGAAGATTAAGAGCAATGTAACTTTTCCAAAGTACCTTTAAAAGAATTGGGGGCTCCACCCTATTGAACATCTGGAAAAGACGGCTGAGCAAACTTTGGCTACACATGTATGATTTTACAGTAGTATCTGCTTGTGCAAACTCAAGCAGAAGATCTGCCACCTTTTCTAGGTATTCCCTAGCAACATCTGCATTCAACGTTGAAACCATGTGGGAAAGTAAACCTGATGATGTTGCACTGCCTGGCCTAGCATTTAGTACACCAGAACCAGACAGTACTCCTGATGCTGTCTGAGAGGCTATCCCAGAGGTCGAAGCAGCTCCTTTGTTAGATGCTAGTGTTCCTATCTCCTTATTTATTGTTTTATGAGAAATTCTAGCAGTGGAATCAAGATTCCCATTTTCTCTACCACGTTGAGAGACATCTGTATAATAATGAATAAATCAATTACCTCTACAGAAATAGATAAAAGATGCCTAGCTGATTCAAAGAGCTATTATTAAGTAAAAAAATATTATGTATAAAAAGAAAGCAATTAAAATTAATTTTTTTGGGTGCAAATGTTCCTAATGCGGGTGGGAGGATAAATTCGTGTTTGAGTCGTCAGATCCTAACACCAGGAGAGCCAGTCTATATATAGTTTACATGATTCCAAAAGATAATACACATATATCCACGTACATACATATATGTTTGAGGATAAAGCTTTACGAATTACTAGTGACAGTCATGTTCACAAATTATAAACTTAGAAACTGATTAGATGAAGAAAACTGTTACCTGCAAATTCAGCCATCAGGAAATCTAATTCACCATTTGTCTTCTTTTCATTAGACGCATGTAAAAGGGGCAATATACTTTCATGTCTCTCCAACCCTGGTAGGTGGCGTACATACTCGAGCTGGCCAGAAAAGTGTCTGGAAGGAGGCTCTTTCTCTAACAAACTAAGAAGGGGTCGGACTTGCTCTTGTTGAGCAGCTACTGTTGTGGGAAACCCATTTGATGTAACTTCCATCATTTTTGGAGGCCTATCTGTGGATGCCCTACTAGAAGAATTAGTGGCTCGCTGCTGCCTGAGGTCAAGATCTCCTCGTTCTTTGGTTGTAATATTTACTACTTTATCTACAGATGTTGAGTCTGGCAATTTAGAAGGAATGGAAGCTTCCACTACTGCACTGCTAGATTGCGCTCTATCCGTATCTAGATGAAGATATCTGGGGTCTGATTGATTGGCATCTAACCTTTGGGAATTTGAAGTTGAAGCACGTGCAGGTTCTGCTGTTCCAGTTGACAAATGAAAATCAATCATTCCATGCCTAGCCTTGGACAGATCATGCTGATCAGTTGTAGGAAGTGGTGTGTCACTCTGAGCAAAAATTGGATGACCAGAATCCAATGAACCAGACCGTGCGCGCTGAGCTGAACCATCATGTGGAAAGCCACCTCCACCAGATATAGAAGCTAGACGAGTTGCCTCATTCAAGCTATAAAGGGTGTTAATAAGTCTGAGCAGTATGCCATTCTTTGCGGCTATGCGACAAAAATCATTTCTAGGAGTTGATCTCTGAAGCTTAAAGACTTGCCACATCCCGTCAATGGCTAGATGAACCATTTCCCTGGATAGAAAAAAGTCAAATCATATATATTTTTTTTAGAAGAAACGAAATTTATTAAGCAAAAGAACACGGAGGTGGATAAGGCAACCACCACCGAAGAAACAAAAACAAACACAGAGAGAAAAAAAACAGCACCAAACCTCCAAACTAACAGGGAGGAACAAAACCGAAAAACCACAGAACAACACACCCCCCAACCCTCAGTTAACCGCAGCTGCCATATCCCTCATAATAGTGGAATAAGAGTAGTCTTTAAAATCTTTTGTAACAGAAGCCCACAAAGCTGCCCAGTACTTAACTCTAGCCATATTTGTTGAGCTATTCAGAGTAAATTTGTTGAGCTCTTGGCTATTCAGAGTATATTTGTTGAGCAGTCATCACCAACGCTCATAGCCAAAGAGTCTGACCAAAGATCCAATGAAGTTTAAAGTTGTAAAGTTGTGGATTATGGGTCCAGTTT